ACTCCTACGGAAGGCAAGAATACGGCAAACGTTAATATGATAAACTCTCTAGCTGGGACATTTTTTTTCGGATCCTCCTTTTCTTATGAAAATAGGAAGGGCCATTGAATAGTTGGAAAAAGCTAGGCTCACTTACGAAAAGTAGAAATGGAAGCTTCCCTGGAGAAGAAGCAATCACGGGATCTGATGGAAGCTTCCTTGAGAAGAAGCAATGATTGTATTTGGGGAATAAGTATTGGTTAACTCTGTGGCAACAGCCACGCTAAGCAAGGTGAACACTCAATGCTGAGTTCCCACAAGCAATTGGGAAGAGACCAAGACGGGAGCTATTTTACACACACGATTAACAAGGAAGAAGAATCCTAACACAAGAATTAACTCATATTTGAAGCCTTCTAAGTCAATTTCCAAACACACATACTTTTATTTACTCATAAGTAGGCCTTTTAAACTTAGCCAAATGTGATGTATATCTACCAACTAAATTTTTTACTAGTCTTTCTCTGAATTTATCATTTTCAGAAGCTATAAAATATCAGCAAATAAAACATATTTGAATCAATTTCATACATCTTCACAACTAACATCCACGGTAATTTAAGTACACATTCAACTGATTAAAGCAACAGTTCAACCCCAAATTAATGAAAAAACTCAACACTCTTTTTATCGTTATTAACCCTAATGAACAATAAATCCACCCTGACTGACCAAAATTGGGTAACAATCCTTCAAATTGTAGCGGCTGCGGCGGCATGGTGGTAAATTAATAATAAAAACCCATCAAGACTATTGAGAGAGAGTTGAGGTGAAATGGAACGATCAGAACTGAGCCAATTGAGAATAGTAGGAGTTGATCCATAAATTTCATAGATTCGATGATTTATTATCAACTTATCATCTACACGTTCTTTAAGTCTTAACTCATAAGCACTTAAAAGTATTATCAAGTAATTTGAAATAATTTACTGTTGAATGCAATTAAACTTGCTCGAAACTATACAAACCATAGTAAGTGATTTTTCACCAAATTTATATTCAACGAACAAAGTAAATGTTGAATAAGTCTCCCACGTAACATTATTTCTTCAAATTTTTTCTCGTCGAAGGATTGACTTTGAATTGTGTTCTACTTTTACACCAGGTCTCGATTCACAATCAAGCATTAATAGAACCGACAAATTTTATGATGAACATTTAATCCTGAACCACTAGCAACGAAACAAGTTGACGAATTTTAAACAGCAATTCAAATGTGACTTCATCATTGTATGTGTACCCGTTTGGTTCTCTGTGTAAAATTTCTATTGATGCTTGATTGACGCAGTTTCAAAGGAACTTGACTGTTGAAGATGTATTGACCACCAAGGTACCTAGGCTCAATTTATTCACCAACTACACCAGAATCAAGCAACCAAACCCAAGACAATACCAAGGCTCCCACTTTCGGTTGCCAAAGGCAAGTAATAACTCAGTGACAATCACCACAAAGGTAGAAGTAAAGTGAGCAGGTGACGGGTAGAAAGTAGAAGAAGCAGAAGACCGATGTCTCACACAAAGAAGAAGAGAGGCGTGACAATCAAACAATCAATCGACCCAAGACAATACCAAGCCTCCCACTTTCGGTTGCCAAAGAGATTACACACTTGGGAGACGACAAAGGCAAGTAATAACTCAATGACAATCACCACAAAAGTAGAAGTAAAGTGAGCAGGTGACGGGCAGAAAGTAGAAGAAGCAGAAGGCCGAAGTCTCACATAGAGAAGAAGAGAGGCGAGTAGTCATATGGCAAAGGATAGGAGATCCAATTATATTCAGGGAAAAATTCATAAGTAAGGTGTATTGTTTACACCAATTCAAAAATGAGGTATAAAGTTTAAAAATTCAAAATTCAAGTTTCTACATAATTAATTGAAAATATTTATTAATTAAATATAATAAAGTCACAATTATACTATTAATGATTACAAATTCATAATTATTGGTCACAGATTTACTAATTGGTCACATATCATCGAATTAATTGGTTACAGATTATTTTGAGGTCACAAATAAAATTTTTTATAGGTCACAGATTATTTCGAAGTCACAGATAAAAAAATTATAGGTCACAAATTATTTCATTGGTCACAGATAAAAAAAATTACAAGTCACAGGATTACATATGATAAAAAAAAAATTTGTAAGTCACAAATTAGAAAATTTATATGTCACAATTTATTTGCCAATCACAAATTTTCAAATTAGTTTATCACAAGTTAATTTTTAATTACAAATTATTGAATTTTTAGATCACAAATAATCGAATAGTTGGTCACATGCCACTACCACCACAGCCACACTTAAGACGACCACCATAATCACTGCTTAATATTGTCATCATCACCAACACAGCCCACTGTCAGCAACACAGACTCACCACCGAGCATTTCACTCTATTTTACTTTCGACAATGAACGTGGTGTAGCGGCAACGCTACCTTACCACCACCATCACCGTTTCCAACAAATTTCCATATTCAACCTCATAACCACCACGACGACCAACAAATTACAATTTTCAACTACAAACCACCACTGCCATTGTCAAACTACAACTGCCAGATCCATCGTCAAATTCAACAAAAATCACCCAAACTGTCAGATCCACCCTGCTGCCACCACCAACAAAAATTGCAACCACCACCGGTCCAACAAAACTATCGCATTGCCTTAAATTCC